AAAACTGTAGCTAAAAGTTGCACAGCTGTAGCTAAAAATAGCAAAACCGTAGCTAAAAGTGGCAAAACTGTAGTTAAAAGTTGCACAGCTGTAGCTAAAATAGCAAAACTGTAGCTAGAAGTAGCAAAATTATAGCTAAAAGTGGCAAAAATTTGGCTAAAAGTAAAACAAAAAAAGAAGCTAGTTTAATGCTAAAAGTGACAATATTATTTATTATTAAATACCAACACATTAGCCAATGGTAGCAAAAGGCTACCTAAAAGTCAAAGTAGAGAATGGGTAACTAAAAGCTAAAATTAAACTGCTAGATAAGAACGAAATGTAATTTATAAGCTAAAAGTACAAGTAGGCTAGACTAGCTAAAAGAAGCAAAAGCTAGCTAGAAGCTAAAAAACTTAAATGGAGCCAGTTTTCTGAAACAGTTTTCAAATAGAACAAAGTTTTTAAAGGAACTGAAGAGGTTTTAATATTTGTTTTATATAAAATGTTAATTTAAGTAAATAATGTATATTGAAAAATATAAAAGTAAAAAAAAAAAACCTCAAATCATTTTGCCCATTTCATAAATAAATCAGCTGAACGTTTTGATACATGAAGGTCTAGACTAGAATCACAAAAAGGTTTGAAAAATAATTAAAAACAGGAAATCTTTTGTGCGAACGCTGAATCAGAATCAACACGATAAATCTTGTGTGATCTTTAAACTACGGTAGTTTCTAATGTTCACAAAGAGCCAAACGAGCAGTTTCGCAGTTTGGAGCGGGCCTCGCGTCATCAGAACCAGGGTTCTGGACCTCCTCTGGTACCTGCAGGGACAGCAGCAGGAAGAGCGGCCTCTCCGTCGGCTCGTGGCTCTCCAGGATCCTGCGAGCTCGCTGCGTGAACAGAGTCGTGGAGTATTTCCCCTCGTGCCCCCACGCTACGCTCTCGTTGTCATGGAGATCGTACCCGCACGACGCAGCGCCGTCACAAGACCCGTAACTGAAAGTAAACGGAGGGAGATCAGCCCGACACCGGGCGTACACGCCGTGAAGGTGTTTGTTTACCTGTAGTAGTCCACACTTCCTGTTAAGGAGCCAAAGAAGGTGTCGAAACCTTTCCTGGTGGGAAGACAAGTTTTCCTGAACAACAAGAGCAAACCAAGCGTCAGACGTTCCTGCAGAGACAGCTCCTCACTCAAAGCTGCCTGCGGACCTGAAACAGAACAATCACCTGCGCAGGCTCACCTGTAGAAGCCCAGGTGCCACTTGCCGACCATGTGCGTGGAGTATCCGGCCTCTCGGAGCCTCTCGGGCAGCGTGTCCATGTTTGAGGGCAAACAGCTGGGCTGGCTGGGTCTGATGATGGAGTGCTGCAGTCCCGTGTGGATCTGATACCTCGGAGACAAAACGGACCTCAGAACCTCCCAGTTGTCTGAATGGTTCGACATCGTTCTCACTGAGGAGGTCCAGTTGTCCCACGCAGCGTTTCAGCTCGTAGCTTTCTTCCATTTCTACAACTCATGTTTCAAAACGTTCGGCTCGTTCAGGACAGTCCTGCTCTCACCGTTGGTCTTTTACTGTTGGAAATATTTAGCTTTGTCGGCCATGTTTGTCTCATTAACATTAACGGAGCGCTCTACACATCCTACAAAGCCTTTTTTTTTTTATTTCTTCTGTCGGCTGCTCCCTGCCTCAGGGTCATCACAGCAAATTAACTCGCACCGGATGCCCACAGGCACCGAGCTACCACAGCCTCTGTGTGGAGCAGAGAGCTGCCGTCTACGGCGCCCGGGGGAGCAGATGGTGGGGGTTAAAGGCCTTGCTCAAGGGCCCAGAGTGGGGCAAATGAAGGTGGAGGCAGGCGTGGGTGTTTCACCTTTACCACCCACATTTTGATGTCGTCGGTCTGGGGAGTTGAATCTGCGACCTCCCGATCACAGGCCCACCTTCTCTAACCGCTGCACCACCACTCCTCCTTTGAGCTGCTTAAAACCTTTTGCTGCTCTTTTGTTCAGCTTCAGCTGCTTTCTGCTAATTTCAGCTTTTTTGTCTGATTTTCAGCTTCTTTGTAATTTTAACCTTTTTTCTGCTAATATCCACCATTTGTTCTACTTTCTAATAATTTAGTTTCAGCTAATTTCTTAGTTATTTTTTTTTATCTTTTTCAGCTACTTTTTCTTCTAATTTCAGCTTTTTTTTTTTCTTGTTTTGCTAATTAAATTAATTATTTTTCATTCAACCTTTATTGATACTGATTAGTCTCATTGAGCCACAAGGACTCATTTACAAGAGAGACCTGTTTTAAATATTTATTTGTAATTTATTCAGCCTCTCTGCACATTTCAGCTTATTCTGCTAATTTCTGCTCTGTTCGTTTTTTTTCTACACATTTCTCCAATTTTATGTTCCTGCTTTAAGAAACGTCAAATTCAACTTTCAGCAGTTTAGTGCTGAAACCGTTTTACTTCGGCTTCTTAAGCATCGTTCAGCAGAAATCATTTGCGCTGTATTTTTGCAGGAAACAGTTTTTCTGGTTCAGCTCGGAGGTCGGTGAAGAGACGTCGGTACCTGCCGGTCATCAGCTGGCTGCGGGACGGCGTGCAGATGGGCTGAACGTAGTAGTTCTCCAGTATGACGCCTTCGGCTGCCAGTTTGTCCAGAGTGGGGGTCTTGATGGTGGGGTTGTGGTAGCCGATGTCGTTGAAGCCCTGTTCCAGAAGAAGCAGCAGTTTTTATGTTTTCAGCTCTTCCTGCAGGAGAGTCTGCAGCTCGGACGACTCGGTTCTGTCGGTCTTCTGTTTTGTCCACAGTTTGGATCTTTATCTTAAAGTTTTCAATCATTTAAAAAGGGGTTCTCTACAAAAGTTATCAACTGGCAATATCCTACCTGTAGCAGATAGCTCTTTGAACAACCTGGGTTTGGGCCCAGATTAACAAGTGGAAGGCTAATCTGAGTGGTACTGAGATCAAAGTGGACTGCTGCCATCTTAAATATCTCCCGTCTTAATATTTGTTCATAACCTTTACAAGAACCTCGCTACAAAACATCTGGACTACCCCTTTAAGAAACCTTTGAAACCGTCTCGGACTCGTCCACCAACTCACCTGGTCGTCGATCAGAATAAAAATGATGTGCGGCTGCTTCTTCTTCTGTCCCGCTTCACCATCTCCAAGGTTTCCATCTTTCCGCCGCCTGGTCGGGTCCGGCTCGGCCCGATGAGCTGACAGGAAGTCCAGACTGAGGAATGCAGCCAGCGCCGCTAGAGCCGCAGGAATGAGCCGCATGGTTAACGGCACGACTCCTGCAGGAAACAAAAACACACACGCAAAAAAAAAAAAAACATTAAAAAGGGGAAAAGACTGAGGGAGGTGCAGCTCAGAAATGTCCGGTTTCACACAGCCGCCGGAGAACTGGGTGCAGATCGTGAAACCACATTTGAGGCGGACCCGCCAAGTTGGCCCCAGCTGTGATCTGAAACATCCATCTGCAGGAGCTCAGAGGAGGCCTTCTTACGATCGCTGGGACCGAGTCACGCCGATAAAATGTGAGGAAAACACCAACTGCAACGGAGGGAGCAGGGACGGGTTCAAGTCCAACTTTTTAATAACTTGTACAGTGAAGGAGTAAAAAACATTTTACACAAGGTGACATACTCTGGTTATAGCCAGTGGCGATTTTAGCCTCTTTTTGACGGGTGCTCAAGCACCCCTAAACATAAAGAAACCATCATTAGGATTATGTGAGAAAACTCAGTTCTCAAACTGTAGATTCACAAACTATTGAACAAATTTGGAATAAAAATGGAATAAATGATGACACTCCTAAACAGGCCAGTAAAATTTATGATTCTTCTTGCAAGAGTCAGATCCTTGATGCCACCTGTCAATCAATCCAGTGGGCTCGTCAGCAACTGACCAGTCAGCGACCTCAATTATTCCCGAAGTGAAACCGCCCCTACCTGCAGGAGCAGGACGTGTGAGGGAAGTGGAGCGCTACGTCTGTAGCATCTTAGCTAACACGTGTGTGTTGTGCGCTGAAATACAGTTGTCGACAGTTGTCAACTGGGGGTGGGGGGGTGTTATGATGCGTAAGAGAGGCGGAGAATGCTCTATTCACACAAGGAGAGCTGTTGGTCAGGCTACTTCTTGTTGCTCTCTAAAATAGTTATTGAATGTAAATGGACTGTACTTAAATAGCACCTTTCTATCTATTCAATACACTCAAAGCTCTTTACAACCTGCGCCTCATTTACCCATTCATACAGCTCTATACTAGATCTCTACAAAGCTAATTGAACAAATCATTCTAAAGAGACTAATCAGAGCTTTATTACATTCAAACACCGATGGGACACACATCAGAGGCAATGAGGGGTTCAGGGACACTTCGGCATGTGACTGCTGGTGGATTCGAACCCCCAACTCTTGCATTTGAGGACGAATCAACTGTTTACTAATGTAGATAAAACTAGATGTTTAACAACTCGTTAAAATACACCAGGATGTAGCAAATGGCATCTACTTTAGTCAAAATTTTCTGGGGGAGGACCCCCAGACCCCCACGTTACAAATGCTTCTGACACCAATGACCACTGTGTTGTTCAAGCCAAGAGCCATGTCAGCACTGGGGGCCAAGTGCCCCTAAAGGTCGGATTCTAGAATCGCCCCTGGTTGTAGATCTAAAAACTAAAAAAAACAAACAATTCTTTGGTCAAACACCAAAATGGTTTCAAACTCTACTGCTCGTAGTCTAAAACTTCAATCTGACCTCAAGTCAACAAAAAAAAATCTCACCACATTCCAACGTGTCGTTATTTATTAAACCAGAATGAACCAAAGTGGAAAACGGAATCCTTCCCCTGATCCAGCAGATTATAAACCTGCTCTCACTCCCTGTGGTGGTTTTCTGACTTTATTAGTCTCTCAAACGGTTGTAGAGGAATTTTGGACCACTCCTTTGACCACATATTTTTGTGCACAGCGGAGTTCATAGTCGACCAAATGATTGCAAGGTGCCCAAACCATCAATGCTGACTCAACATTCACACTTTTGTTTCCGCTAATCGCTTCCTCTGTACATTTTGGTGCCATTTAACCATTCATGTATTGATATAAAAAAAAAAAAAAAAAGTAAAAGCGAAAACAACTGGACTGTTATTCTGAAGTTTTAAAATGTTTCACTTCCTGTTTGAGGAGCACAGGAGAAGATCTCAGATACAATATGAGCTGTTCAGGTTACGCAGATGAATCTCTCCCCTCACACTGGAGGGTCGTTGGGGTCTTTGGCTGATGAGAGATGTTTTGGTGAGATTGAAGAAGGTGTGAATTGGAGGACAAATCTTTGCTCTTTCATAAAATGGTTCTGCAAAATGGCCGCACAGACCAGTCGGTCTTTATGTTGCCTCTGGCCACGTCCCTCAGATGTGAGCTTACAGTGTGATGAATTAACTAATTTCTCTTTGTGGTTAACTATTTTTTAACTAAATACAAAGTTGCTGAGTGTCGTCATCGATCTTCTCTCGATTATAAATCTGTTTGTCGTTGTTTAATCCCAGTTTAAAACCTGGTTTTCACAGGTCAGCCATTTTGGCTCTGTTGCTACTTCACTTCGTGACACAAAGGTGCACCAGTGGTGAACTGGCTTAGACCCACAAATCACATTTTAATCACAAAAGTTTGATGTCATGGGCTCTTTTAGGTGTTTGTCCTGATGTTTGTGTTTTTGTTTACAAACATGGAGCTGTGCATCATGGGTAAACATCTCCACTTTGGTCCAGTGAACATACACTACCTTGCCAAAAGTATTCGCTCACCTGCCTTGACTCACATGAGCTTAAGTGACATCCCATTCCTAATCCTTAGGGTTCGATATGACGTTGGTCCACCCTTTGCAGCTAGAACAGCTTCAGCTCTTCTGGGAAGGTTGTCCACAGGTTTAGGAGTGTGTTCATGGGGATTTTTGACCTTTCTTCCAGAAGCACATTTGTGAGGTCACATGTTGGACAAGAAGGCCTGGCTCTCAGTCTCCACTCTAATTCATCCCAAAGGTGTTCGATCGGGTTGAGGTCAGGACTCTGTGCAGGTCAGTCAAGTTCATCCACACCAGACTCTGCCATCCAGGTCTTTATGGACCTTGCTTTGTGCACTGGTGCACAGTCATGTTGGAAGAGGAAGGGGCCAGCTCCAAACTGTTCCCACAAAGTTGGGAGCATGGAATTGTCCAAAATGTCTTGGTGTGCTGAAGCAGTCAGAGTTCCTTTCACTGGAACTAAGGGGCCAAGCCCAGCTCCTGAAAAACAGTCCCACAACTTAATCCACCAAACTTTACACTTGGCACAATGCAGTCAGACAAGTACTGTTCTCCTGGCAGCCACCAAACCGACTCGTCCATCAGATTGCCAGATGGAGAAGCGAGATTCGTCACTCCAGAGAACACACCTCCACTGCTCTAGAGTCCGGTGGCGGCGTGCTTTACGTCACTGCATCCGACGCTTTGCATTGCACTTGGAGATGTATGGCTTGGATGCTGCTGCTCGACCATGCAAACCCATTCCATGAAGCTCTCTGTGCACTGTTCTTGAGCTAATCTGAAGGCCACGTGAAGTTTGGAGGTCTGTAGCGATTCACTCTGCAGAAAGTTGGCGACCTCTTCGCACTATGCGCTTCAGCATCCGCTGACCCTGCTCCATCAGTTTACGTGTCCTACCACTTCGTGGCTGAGTTGCTGTCATTCCCAAACACTTCCATTTTCTTATAAAACAGCTGACAGTCCACTGTGGAATATTTAGGAGCGAGGAAATCTCACGAGTGGATTTGTTGCATAGGTGGCATCCTATCAGTTCCACGCTGGAGTTCACTGAGCTCCCGAGAGCGACCCACTCTTTCACAATGTTTGTAAAACCAGTCTGCATGCCGAGGTGCTTCATTCAGTTTTGAAGTTTGTGGTTCATTCAGTAAAAGTTTTTATTGCCCTGCTATGACCTGTAACCTGCTACGACCTGTAACCTGCTACGACCTGTAACCTGCTACGACCTGTAACATGCTACGACCTGTAACCTGCTACGACCTGTAACCTGCTACGACCTGTAACCTGCTACGACCTGTAACCTGCTATGACCTGTAACCTGCTACGACCTGTAACCTGCTACGACCTGTAACCTG